TGGTGGTGAAAAACCCTTTGTCCAGGGTGGGACACACACACACACACACCCGCCCGCGCGAGCGCGCCGCACAATGTATGGCGGACTAATTCCAGCAAGATGCCAACGGGGTCTCGCACTTTAGATTCAGCAAAAATTCTTCGATCTCGATCCCGCTACTGTCTCCAGCGGCTGTGTAGATGCAATTCAGGAAGTCCTTCCCGGAAAGAGCGAAATGAATGCCCCGTAATTTTGCAGACCTTGAGCTGGCTATCTGTTTTGAGCTTTATTGTTTTTGGGCAAAGGGCCGAGAAAGTCTGGAACCAACAGGGAAACGCATCAAAAAAAATGAGACATTGCGTGGCGGATGTTTTCGATAGCGCACAATAAGTTAGGGCCGAATGAAACAATGCTTGCTTCCAGGCCTCGGCCTTGACCTCCTGAATGATATTCTGAAGTGGGGCCATGCCAAGAAGCATGAGGGCTTCATCAGCCAAACATCTAATTTCTACGTCACCTTCTGTGATGGCCCTCTGTACTGCATTTTGTATTCGCTGAAGGCCCTCGGTAGTACCGGGTAAGCCATATGCTTCAGCAATGTCGGTTTGGCAAGGCCACAAAACTTCTCGCAGCTCTGCCATGTAGTCTTCTTGAGCACCACTCGTCTGGGCTTTACGCTGCTTTTCCTTGGAGGGCCAAACAACACAAGAATATCAGCCAAAGGTCAAAGGTCCATTGTGTTGATTCATGTGGCAGTAGGCTAGGCAAAGTCACGTAAACGTTCCTGATCTTCCTCTGGAGGTCAGGCTCACTATACGCCGCGATAAGCTCTGCAACTATCTCCCGCAACTCATCCTTAGGACACTGCTGTGCTACCAAAAGCGCTTGAGGACGGCATGCATTGACCCACACAGCTAACACCAGGATGCCTGCAGTCAAAAGCCAAAGAGTTTCTCATTGAAATCTGGATGGCTGGATAGTCACAAGTTTGCAAGAAGCCTACTCAAAAGCCACCAACCAACCAAGGAGAACTGGTGGGTACAGTAGTTGCCTTTCCGACCTGGTGTGCTGGCTGACTGAAAGCCGCTCCCGACTTGCCCGCTGAGTGCCTACTGAGTCTATTCACGTGTTCCCTCCTACAACAATGACTGTCCGGTCTTCACTTAGATGGCACCAAGGCAGGAGCCAAACCGGCCAACCTGAGATCAGTCTTAGTGTCCACTTCGAGATCTCGGCCAGAACCACTGCCAGGGCTTTGAAGGAGGATAACCTCATTGATGTGGACCAATCATATCCATAAAGAAAAAGTACAGTTCCACCCAACGTCATGTCATAGAGTCTGAATCTCTCTCATCAAACGCACAGGCACAAACAAATTTGGCCTTGCACATGACGCAGGCATGATACAATTTGATTTTACATGTGACAATGTGCAGTTGAACTTTGCTGTCAAATCCTTCACCGAATGTTCTCCAAAGCACTGCATCTCGCACGGAGCTCACCTAGCGCAGAAGCTGCACAGTGGCATCAGTGTTGCAAATCCACCTATTTCTCAAAGTTTGCGCTCAAGGCACTGGTAGTTGTGCAGTTGAGATGATGTCCTCCGGCGGCTTCGCTTTCGATTGGACAAACTCCATCGCTTTTGAAGCTTCTTCGCCTTAGCACTGACTCTTGAACGTTTCCTCTTTCACACACCTCTCTCTCTCTCCCACTCAGATTCAGTCCCTCTCTCTTTGAGTCATATTTGGTTTCATCGTTCACCGTAAGCTATGGACTCACACTGGCAATTGATCCCCAATTCACTTGGACATCTTTCAAGAACGATGGAGAAGCAACCAGCGCCATGGTGGGAGTACACTAATCACACTGGCCTGCCAACAAGTGATTCAAATCCCAGCGCAGCAGCAACCTAGGACTGGACATCAGCTGCAGTGCTTGTCTCGCCTGGAGTCCTGAGGGTGACTTTTACCCTGCTACACATTCCGCAAAATAAAATAATTTGTGGCTGCGGTGACAGGACAGCGAGATGTTTATAAATTTACAGTAATTGTCGTGGTCGTGCTCAGAACACCCCCCACTCAAACGACCATTGATAGTCATCCGGGTCATTCGAGTCATCCTGCCAATTTTAATCAACTCGGTCATGGTTGTTGCCCTACTTTGTGGCATCCAGCTATGTACAAACTGTTGGCCGACTCTACCTGTCTAGCAAGCACGATGACATGCCGTCATTGCAAGGTGAGCTGGCGGGGTACTGCAAACACCTGCCACGGCATGTGCAGAATACAACATGTCTATGATCATGAATTCTTTCGGGGAAGTGGCCTTGCAAAACATATTCAGAAGAGATGCCCTTCCGAGCCGGTCTACTGAGCATACAGGTTCTTAGAGAGAATTTCCTTGGCGTTGCACTGGGGGTGCTTGCAACTTGCCACAGAGAGAGAGAGAGAGAGAGAGCGTTCTTGAAATGGTTGGTGGTTTCACTTCATAAGAACCTATTCCCCCGCCCCCATCCACATTAAATACGAAGCCTCCTTTCAAGAATGTCGCAAGAGCTTATATGTGTACTGTGTGTATGTGAACATGTACATATGGGTATACTGACTATCTATATATATATATATATGTGTGTGTGTGTGTCCAGCGGTGGGTGATCTGAACATCGCACATACTTTGGAACGCGTGATGTTTCCAAAGTTGCACGCAAGATTACTGACCATGCAACAAAACCAAGTGGGAACGCTACAGCAACACCAAGAGTCAAAGCAGCACGGCGCTCTTGAAAGACTAGGTGGCCGGTGTTCATCCAATTTCTTGCAACACCTTCTCAGCTGACTAGCTGCACGTCCTTTATATTTACATAGTACTATATAGTCACAAAGTTGCTATACAAAAGTAGACATTGCCCGCTAGATACTGCACGTGACAAACAACTTGGAATTTAATTCTACATGGTCGCTCGGCCCCTCGGATAATTACTGTATATAAGTAGTGTTAGAAACGGTTCAATGTGATCACGGGCAGCTCCAGAATGCAACAATGCAAAAGGAATTGCGATTTTGGGTGTGGAACTGGCGCCACCAGGTTCTTTAGCTCCAGGCTGAAACTTGCAACCAAAACCTGGTTCCAAATAGTTCCGAGGCCGGATTTCGGGCGAAAAGTTGCGATCAGAACCCGCCAGGTTCGAAATTCAAGAAAATGAAAAGAAATCAAAACAAACAGTATTATCATGTGTTATCAAAGCCTGATTCCAAGTTCAGGGTTTGCTTTCAGGCCGAAGGGGTGAGATGTGACCAAAACCTGGTTTGAGAATCAACGTTCCAGGTTTCAGGGTTCCAAGCGAAATTGCGATCAATCTCGTTTCGTATCATCTTAAGATAAACTAAGGAGAGCCAATATGTAGAGCGCACATAGGTGTGCCAATTGCCGCGCACACCACAAGATCTGCACTTCGATGTTCGCAAAATGCTGAACTCGCCTTGCCGCAGTACTTCAACATCAGAGCCCACAACACGCAAGCCTGCCACGAAACCTGCGCTTTGCTGGCAAAGTGCTACAGTTCGTACAGTACTTCAACGCCCTCCAAACTGGAATTTTCGTAGGAGAACTCCAACAATTTGTGGAGATTCCACAATTCTTTTAGGTAAAACAAAGCGACGAGTGGCCTGGGAGCACGAGTCACGAGCAGCGTGCGTGCACTTCAATAGAGAGCAACTGTAATTACATGATTAAAGTCAAGTTTCTGTGTCGTCGATCGTGTCTACACATGAGCGGTGTTCAAAACCCTTATAACTTGTAAATTACAAGGAAATTATAAATTATTGCGCAAAAACCTTGCACGATGCTTACGCGACCACAGTGGGAGCTCGCGCAAAGCCCAACATTTGCTTGCGCGAGTTTGTGCTGAAATAGGTTTTGCAATTTTTCGTGCGTTTTTGCTTGCGCGGTGTATGCCCGAGCTAGCTGGAACATGGAAGTTCCTCGCAAGCTACATGTGAATGCGACCGTTCTATTCGGACGTTCCGAGCAGAATCACTTGGCAAATGAAGTTGAGGGAGGCGAAGTGGAGCTACGAGGCACGAAGACGACCGAGCTCTGACAATCGTTTAGATATGTTTCTTCGAGTCCCGTTCTTTGACGTTCTTTGTGGGGAGTGGGTGGGCTAGGGCATTTGCGGCTTGCGCGAACCTTGCGCAAACCTTGCGCGAAAATGTCCGTTTGTCCAAATTCTGAACCAAACAGTGTAATTACAACGAATCTGATTATTGTATACTGTAAATCATAATGTAAATAATGCCTGGCATACAAACAGTCAGGCATTCAAGCACTATAGTATGAAGCTAACGCAACCTTGCGCAAACCAAAGGCCTTGCGCGAAGATTGCGAAAAGATAGCGCGCGTGGTCCCATGCAGGTTTTGAAATAAAAGATCCCCGGAAGACTATAGTTCTCTACCGCCGGTTTTGAACGGGGTTCACATGTCTACATCAGGAGTGCTGATGAAAAACAAGGGACGCGTCTGATGCGCCGCCCTGCAACTGTATGCTGGTTTTTGTGGTTTTCTTGTCTGTGGATTTTTGGTTATTTATTCAAAAGGTTTGTTTCGGAAGTATCTTTGCCGGTGCATCAATTCCCCGCACTTTCCCAAGAAAAATGTGTGTAATGTTTTTTCTTTTGGGGGGGTTAGGAACGAGAGAAACATGTTCGGGAAAGTGTTCTTGAAGGTCTGATGACCTGCGGAAAAGAGTTGTTCGATTCGACTTCAAGCTTGTTACCTGAATTGTCTTTTACAATAGATTTGGATAGATTTGGATGTTGCACAGAAACAAATGCAATTGAAAGAAGTACGTTGCCATACACAAAGGAAAACACAGTGAGGTACGTGTAACTGCATCCTTACATCGCTACAAGGACGTCATTCCCGCAACACCCACCCAACAAAGACACACTCTGACATTGGTTTTCAGCTAACTCAATTCCCAGGAGAAAATGGCGATGGAACGGAAAGGTGAAAGAGTCGGCGTAATTGTATTGTTGAACAATGTTTATGCAAGACTGCTCCAGCAAAGCTTAAAAGTTAAGCAGGTACAGGTGGATGATCAGTCCACCCCTCCCTCGTCATACCGTAGCTTCGTTGCGTACGGAAGGTATGACGAGCCGTACGCCCCTGCTTTTTTCCGCATCCCTGCCTCTTCGTGCTCAAGTACTGGCGAGCTCTGGGGCTCTAGAAACCTCTAGTTCCTGGTAGCAAGGCCAAGAGCAACCAGCCCTCTAGAAACCGACTAGGCACAAACCTTAGGAACAGGTGTTAACACACACAGGATGCCGCGTTCGGCGCTCTGTCTGTTGGCAACGGCTTTGTACGCATAACGCCAATATTGGCGTTCCAAAAGGCTACTAGTCACCTAAAGAGCCTTAGAAAGACAGTCAAAGAAAACAAAACAAGAGCAGACCAAGAGGGCAAGAAAGAAAGATAGGTATAGTGACGAGGCCCACTTAGTTAAATGAAAGTAGTTCGCGAGCGGGACTTTTGTCTTAAACCGCTCGGGTAGCTAGCAATAGGATAGGGGAAACAGAAGGAAAGGCACCAACACACAAGTGTGTTGAGTGCGACTTCCTTCTGTTGCCCGAATAGCGGGTGGGATAGCAACAGAGGCCTGGGGTAGGGAGGGAAAAAACCCGAAGGCATTGCCATCGTTGGCATTCAAGTAAAGCCGATTTGGGCCGGCGCAACCCGTCTGAAAGGCACCTGAAACCTAAAGAAAGGCCTCAAGAAAACGAAAAGCAACAGCAGGAAAGAAAAGCCAAAAGAACCAGAAAAGATTACTTAGTCGTTCACGCGCCGAACCCTCCCTCCGCTCGGTCGCAAAAGGTGCAACAGTTTCACCTGAAACCTGAAAGACCTCGAGCAACTCTTTACCTAAACCTAAAGCCTCGAGCAAACCCGAAGTCGTCCGAAAGTCACAGTCGACCGAACCTGGCCTGTGAATACTTAGCAGCATGACGTGGACAAGTGAATACTTGGCAGCATGCGAGATGATCCGAAGGTTCAGAAGCCGAAAAGGTGGTAACCGTATTAGCCCGCGGCTCGAAAGGCAGTTAATTCAGTGGTGACACGAAAGCTGTTACCTTAAGGACGGTTTCTACTTAGCCTACTTATAACCTAGTTATAGTGTGGCTATAAGTTGGCTAAGTAGGGTTTTAAGTTGGTATAAGTAGGCTAAGTAGCATCATGAAAAATGATTACTTACAGGAACTTAAAGTAACTTATAACTAACTTAGGCTACTTCCTAAGTAGATTTAAGTAGCGGTTAAAGATGTTGCTGTTGGATTTTACTGAGTAGGCTAAGTAACTTCTTCTTACTTAGTTCTACTTAGTTCTACTTAGTCTACTTAGAAAAATCATTAAACAACTTATTTTTGTATGTTTTGCCAAGAAAAAACCTTAAATTTCTACGCGTTACATGTAACATGTTAGTTGAAAAGTGTGCGTTCCAAAAGTTTGTTGTTGTAAGCTGTTTCTGCTGATTGGTTGTCATGTTTGGTGTTTGATTTGCTTGAGCGGTTGTCCGCTAATTTAGGTTTGAGCGGTTGTTCCGCTGACCGGATAGAAACCGCTAGACTTGTGGCTCTTGTGGACAAACAGTTATGTTCAACAGAATAATTGAATATACATACACCCTATATTGTTGTAACTTTGTGAAAAGGGGTTGCAAAGGGGTGGCAGAGATGCTGTGTGTAGCCATATAGGGGTTGCAAATATGTTCGGCAAAATATACATCAACGGTTTTGGAATTTTTAGACAGCAAGTTGCACCTTCTTACACCGGCTATAGTGGCGATGGAGGACCAGCGCCCGAGACCGAAGCGGAAAGGTAAGCGTTCTGCGCCGCCGGCGCCAACGACTTCGCCACCAGTCGAGTTCAAGGAAGCAGCAGTTCACTCCAACGAAAGATCGGTACACTCCCTAGGCGCTGTTGCGAAATCAGGTCCGACGCCAACCCCGAAG